TGAGAAAGTTTAATTTTAGTATGAGGAAAAAAATAATTACTATAACAACACAAGTGTATACAAGAGGTTAATCCAGTGCCAAAGCACATGTGAGTGCAGTGGACAATATGAGAAGATGAGGGATTCTGCAATAATTAAATTTCAAAAAAGCTTGAAAATCTAGATGTTACCACAATCATAACTTCTCGAGATTGCTAACAGTGAGAGCTAGGTGACCTGAAGCATCCCTCTCTCATCTCCAAAATTTGCTGATTCCCGATGAGAATGGATTTCAGAATGGAGATGTTTTCGACAAAGAGGAAGAAGATTCTTTTCTGTAAGACAACTATATTATATGCGTAAAGGTGGTGGGAAGTCACTAGAAATTTTGATAGCTTTTTTTTTTATTTCAATTTCCTTTTACAATAAAATTATAAGCTGTTTTTAAAAGCATGCTTTCTATAGAATTGTTGCATTTGAATTGTTACCCTCATTCACCACTCTTTTCCATCAAAGCCAATAGTGAACAAGGTTCTAGAACTCAGGCTCCTATGTTACTAAAACCAACGTCAATGAAGTTACCTAGAGAGGAATAAGGACCATGCTTGCTTCTCCCAGAAGAGACATATTATGGAGTCTGAAAATGCTCCCAAAAAAGAATGAGTATTCTGAAGAAGCATGTCCATACTTCCCAAATTTTAGAGTTTCAAAGAACCATGATTCCCTTATCATCAAATTAGTTAGTAATTGTGAGTCACTGGCTTTATCTTTTTAAATTTAGCTTTACTACTGTGTAAATTACTGATAATAAAATACAAATATTTTAATACAAAATCTGATAAGTTCTCACACATGTAAATAGGTTTGTAATGATGGATATAGAACATTCTATCACTTCATAAAGATTTCTCCTGCACTTAGTAGTTAATCAGCCCCTTCCCACCCAAATCACGCAAAAACTTATTTATTTCAGTATAGATGAATTTTTCTGGCATTGGAACTTACATAAACAGAAGAATAAATCATATGTTCTTTTGAGTCTGGTATCTTTCACTCAGCATAACGTTTTTCAAATTTAGCCACGCTGTTGCAGGTATGAGTAGTTTATTCCTTATTATCGTTGAGTAGCATATTCTATCTTTTCAACATACTTCAACTGGTATATTGAGACGTCTCTCCTTTGCACCAGCCCTTCTCATTCTCTTTTGCTTCCAAACACATTAACATTTTGTCTATCTTAGGGTTTTACTCTTAAACTCTTCCCACTTCCCCA